GGAATAAATCCCACTTGATCATGGCATATGATCCTTTTAATGAAGTATTAAATTCAGTTTGCTAATATTTCATTGCGGATCTTTGCATCTATGTTAATCAGGGATATTGACCTGATTATTTTCTTTCTTTGTGTTGTCCTTTCCTAGTTTTGGTATCAGAGCAATGCTAGCCTTATAAAATGAGTCTGGGAGTATCCCTCCTCTTCTGTTTTTTGGAAGAGTTTGAGAAGGATTGGTATTAATTCTTCTTTAAATGTTCAGTAGAATTCACCAGTGATGAAGTTATCTGGTCTTGGACTTCTGTTTGTTGGAAGGTTGATTAATGATTAATGATTCAGTTCCCTGGCTAAGAATCCATTCAGATTTTTTGTTTCTTCATGATGCAGTTTTGGTAGGTTGTGTGTTTCTAGGAATTTATCCATTTCTACTAGGTTGTCCAATTTGTTGGCATAGAGTTTTTCATAGTAGTCTTTTTTGATTCTTTGTATTTCTCTGGTATAAGTTGTAACAGCTCTTCTTTCACTTCTGATTTTATGTATTTGCATTCTTTTGCTTTTTTTCTTGGTAAGTTTAGCTAAAGGTTTGTCTATTTTGTTTATCTTTTCAAAAAACCAGCTCTTAGTTTCATTGATCTTTTCTGTTGTCTTTTTAGTCTCTCATTCATTTCCACTCTCATCTTTGTTATTTTTGTTCCTTCTACTAACTTTGGGCTTTTGTTCCTAGTTCCTTGAGGTATAAAGTTAGGTTGAGCTCTTTCTTGCTTCTTACTGTAGGCATCTATCACTATGAGCTGCCGTTAGGGGTGCCTGGGTGGCTCAGTTGTTTAAGCATCCGACTCTTGGCTTTGGCTCAGGTCATGATCTCAGGGTTGTGGGATCAAGCCCTGTGTTGGGCTCCATGCTCAGTGGGGAGTATGCTTGAGATTCTCTTTCTCCCTCTCCCCCTCTTTCCCCTCTCTCTCAAATAAATAAATAAATCTTTCTTAAAAATGCTTTTACTGTATCCCATAGATTTGGTATATTGTATTTACATTTTTATTTGTCCCAAGGCATTTTTTGATCTCTCTTTTGATTTTTTTCTTGACCCATTGATTTTTCAGTCACATGTTGTTTAATCTCCAAATATTTGTGAATTTTTCTGTTCTTTTTATAACTGATTTCTAGTTTTATATCATTGTGGTTGGAAAACATGCTTGATGTGATTTCAATCTTAAATTTATTAAGATTCATTTTAAGGCCTTACATATGATCTGTCCTGGAGAATGTTTTTTGTGTGTGCATGAGAAGAACATGTACTTGCAGTATAATTTTTAAATCTAGACCTTTAGGTAATTTTAAATTTATGTTTATATATGGTATGAGCAGGAATCCAACCACAACTAGGCCCAGTTGACCTAATACAATTCATTGATTTCAAATGCCTCCTGATCATATTCTAAATCCAGTGATCTAATTTTATCAGCACAATACTCTTCTAATTATTAGTGTCTTTTTGCAGTATGTTTTATAATCTGGTAAGCTAGTCCACACATCATTTTTCTTCCTTTCAAATATTTTCTTGGCTCCTGTTATATATATGGATAAATTTAGAATTAATCATCAAGCTCTGAAAGAGCCTCTGGGATTTGGTTTGGAAACGTATTTGTGGTATATTTTTAGGTGAAAACAAAATCAGTTCACAAATACCCTATATACTGTCATTGCCATTTTGTTTCTAAAATTACATGTATATATAATAAAACAACATCTCAAAGAATATACAAAAAAATACGTAGCAGTGGTTATCTCCTGATGCTAATATTATAGTTGATTTTTTTTCCTGGTTTTTGTTTTCCAAATTTTCTACAATGTGTGTGTAATACTTTTTAAATTAGTAAAAAAAGATACTAAAAAAATACTAAACTAAAATGTATCCATTAGTAACTTCATGATTATCTACTTAACAAACAGAAGCCAAATGGGAATAAAAAATGTTCCGCGGGAAATAAATATGTGAGTTGTAGAGAGTGAAGTGCAGACACCTGGCTCAGAATATAAACCAAAGATGTCTGGAATGTTCCTGGGAAGGACTGAGATGGGGAAACGGAGGCAGTACAACTGTACAGCCTCCTCTCTTACTTTGTGTGGTTGACTTCAGTTCCGTTCAAGAGACGTGAGCCTCCTCACCTAGCAATCGTTCCGGGCTATATTCTCTGCAGCTGGATTTAAAAGGCACAGTTTCTTTGGTTTCCCCATTTCAGAGATTCACTTTCATACGACACAGCCAGGCCTTGAAATGCGTCAAGACTTAGTGTAGTCTAAATCTGGTCCTTGCATGTCCTGAGGTTTTAGTCAACATTTAACAGAAAGAAGATTGCAAAATCTGTTCCCAACGCTTTGATATATTTGAAGCAGCAGCATGCTCATTCTTGGCTCACAGCATGTAGATTCTGTCAGCGGTGTGATTAAAACTTGGTTCTGTTTGCTTTTTAATCGACATGCTCTGTCAAGGTAATCTTACCAATTTAGCAATAATTATAACAACATCTAACATTTATCAAACATTTTCTGTGTGTCAAGCATTGTACTGCACTTGATATGAATATCTCATTAGATCCTTAAAACAGCCCTATAAATGTATTGTTCCATTTTATAAATGAGAAAACTGAGGCTCAGAGAGATCCAGGTCATACAGACTAGTAAGTGCCACAGGTGACATTGAAACCCAGGCAGCCTAACTCCAGAACCTGCATGCTTAATACACTTAGAACTCAGTTTTTAATCCCTCTGCTTCCCTAAAAACCTGCTCTGCCTCCTGCACTTTCAGTCTTATTTGCCTAATGTCCGCAGCTAGAGCTGTCAAAATGATCCTCCACCTCTCTCCTTGAACTTCACCTCCTACCAGTCAGTCCTACCTTGAGGAAGTCTCACACCCATCTGTCGCCCTCCCTGTCCCCTGGCCCTGCCCCATGGCCCCGGGCTTGACACAGTAACCTCGCTTGGCTGATTCTTCCTTTCACTCAGTCTAACTTGTTTTTATCTTCACAGTTCTCTTCCGAGAGCATGAAGCTGATCATGTCACTGCACTGTTTAAGAGCTCTTAGAGTTCCTTTTTTGTTTGTTTGTTTTTTAACCAGATTAAATCTGAACTGCTTAGCTCTCCATCCACAGTCTGGCCCCCGTCTGCCTCTTCAGCTTCATTTCCTGTCATTCTCTACGCAGTCCCTTTACCTTACGCTCCCACCGCACTGAAAGGTTCCGTCTTCCCAAGGTCTGTGCCAAGCCCCTTCATAGCTCTGCGCATCTGCATTTCTTTCCTCTGCTTGAAAGCCTCTTCTTTGATCTCCCCACAAACTCCTCTGCAGCTCTCAGGATCCACATCACATACCGCCTGCAGTAACATCTGCCCAGACCCCTCCAGGATGCAGCTGTCATTCTTGGGTCTTCCCCTGTAGCACGCGTTCAGGCCTCACTTGTGGTAACTAATTATCTGTGCATGTGTTTTTCTCTTCCATTAACCTTCATGGATCTCGGGGCAAGGACCAAATGCATTCATCTTTCAGCACCGAGCACACAGGAGGCCCTCGATAAATGCTGGCTTAATGCTTGAAGGAATGTCCAAGAGAGCATTTGAAACAATAGGAAGTTAGAATTATACTTACTCCTAAACAGAGGACTATCTTATGTGTTTCTCAGAGTAATCTCTTTTAACTAAATTAGCAGGCCTAAATTAGCAGGTAGTCTAACATACTGAATAAAAGTGGTTTATAGCAGGGCGCCTGGGTGGCTCAGTTGGTTAAGCGACTGCCTTCGGCTCAGGTCATGATCCTGGAGTCCTGGGATCGAGTCCCACATCGGGTTCCCTGCTCAGCGGGGAGTCTGCTTCTCCCTCTGACCCTCTTCCCTCTCGTGCTCTCTGTCTCTCATTCTCTCTCTCTCAAATAAATAAATAAAATCTTTAAAAAAAAAAGTGGTTTATAGCAAACGGGGAAAGGTCTATTAGATATAAGTTTCCCTAGGACAGAGGACCATTATGCAAGATTAAGATCCATCTGAGATCATGGGTGTGCCCCTCTCCCCTGCTGGGCATGGGTGTAATATTGTGACACAGTGGAGAGAACATTCTCCCTGGCGTGAGAGCACTGGTGCTGGCTTACCCGCTTTGGGACTTGGACTAGTTACCTCTTCACGAGCAAACACTCGATGTTAACTTGGACCCCTTCCTGATTGGGAACTTTGATGCAGGAAGACTTCCCATAGAAAGTGCCTCTCCTGTTTTTAGTCATTTCTTTTTTCATTCCAGCTTTATTAAGGTTTAATTGACAAATAAAACTGACATAAGTGTACAACATGATGGTTTGGTACACATTGTGAAGATCCCCATAGTCGAGGTAATACATCTGTCCTCTCACATAGCTCTTTTTTTTTCCCTTTTGAGAACATTTCAATTTTACTCTCTTAGCATATTTATTTTTTTTAGGTGGGGAGAGGGGCAGAGGGAGAGAGAGAATCCCAAACAGGCTCCATGCTCGGCAGCACAGAGCCCGATGCAGGACTCGATCCCACGACCCTGAGATCATGACCTGAGCTGAAACCAAGAGTCAGACGCTCAACCAACTGAGCCACCCAGGCTCTCTTAGCATATTTAATTATACAGTACAATGTTATCAACTGTAGTCATCATATTGTACATTAGATCTTCAGACCTTATTTATGTTATAACTGAAAGCTTGTACCCCTTTACCAACCCGTTCCCATTTCCCCCACTCCCCCAGCCCTTGGTAGCTACTATTCTACTTTGTGTTTCTGTGAGTGTGCCTTTTCCCTCCCACCCCCCATTCCACTTAGAAGTGATACCATGTAGTATTTGTCTTTCTGGTTTACTTCACTTAGCATAATGCCCTCCAGGTTCAGCCATGTTGTTGGAAATGCCATTTCCTTACTCATGAGCAATAACAGTTAACCCAGTGCGAACAGCATCATTTTATTTTATCTGAAGTCCATCTTTCCTTTCCCTTTCAGCTTCAGGATGAGTTAGAAAAAGGTGAACGGGACAATGCAGAGCTACAGGAGTTTGCCAATGCCATTCTTCAGCAGATAGCAGATCACTGTCCCGACATCCTGGAGCAAGTGGTCAATGCATTGGAAGAGTCGTCCTGACCCTGCTTTGTGGGAGCGGCCAGCCCAGCAGCCTGCTGGAGTAAATCCAGGAGTCAAGAAAGAAGAGCTGTAAGGAACGGGCACCCAGAAACTTCCTGGCACCCAACAAACACTACAAACTCTGTCCTATCTTGGTTGGTCCTTTGAGTGTGATTCCAGCACCCTTTCTATAGCTGGACATCTTGACTCTGCCTTTCAACTTTGGATATTGTCTCTACACTAACTTTCCTGATGTCCAGGGTGGGTAAGTGGCCAGGTTTCCATGAAGAACTGCCATCCAGTCATCAGCAGTGGAGAACTGTGGAAGCTGGTGGTTCTGCCCTTACAGAGGGACATGGAGTGGAGAGCCCTTTTTCCTTCTGCCCTTGACATGAGAACTAAACCTGGAATCTCCTTGGAGTTCAGCATATTGAAAGAAACTTCCCAATGGACTAGAGAGCTGAGTGTTCTAATATCACAACAGGTGCTTTCTCCTAAAAGGGTAAAAAAAAAAATCTTAAGGGGGGAAAAGAGAGAACAGGGACAAAAGAAATTGACTCTTCTTTTTGCTGTCCCTTTTGCTTACTTTCCTGTGTAATGTTTTATGCAGGGGAGCTGCAAGCAGGCCTCATGACGGCTTGGTGAACACTAACACCCCAAGTTTGGAGTCTTGCCCCAGCCCTCTCTGTCTCACTCATCCTTGTTCTTCTCAGCCAGCTAACAAGAGGATGGTGTGGACAGTTCTCCCCGGGTCCCTCTTGCTTAAGACCTTTGACCTTATACTTAGGTTGTCACATCATACATCTGGATCTGAAGGAGAAGAAGGGTTTGACGTGAGGCCCTGCTGTCACCGCCTAGAGCTCTGCTTCTGTAGAAGTTCCCTGGGGCCAGGCTGGTTTCTCCTACACATCTCCTTCATTGGCATTCTAGGCCCCTGAGCCCCAAAAGAATGATTCTGCCTTCCCACCGTCCATGTTCCACCCACCTCCCTCCCTTTTAGCTTTACTCTTGATGTGCACTCCCAGAACCATAGCCTCGAGCATTGTCTGAAACCTCCTTCTGGCACAAATGAATGTCTCTCATCCCACACACATTCCTTCCTCCATCCTTTCATTCAGAGAATATTTATCAAATGCCTACTGTGTGCAAGGCACTGTTGGGTACCCATCCTTGACAAAAGTCTCTTTTCAGTGAGGGAGAAATGTGAAGGACTCTCTGAGACATAACCTGGTTGAGTCAAAGCAGTCAAAGGCATACCCTTCCCCTCCCCACTCCTTCTCTTAGTAGAAGTTCTCTTTTCCAGATGAATCTTTCACAAATGAGCCTTTCTCATTTCTCCTTATAATGGAATTGATGAGGGGGGCTTATCCCCCTTGAGGGGGGCTGAGTCAGTTACTTGCCTGCAGGATCTTATTTGGTGGTTCAGGATTTTTGTGGTGGTTGTTACCCTGCAAGGGTGTAGTGTTTAGGGGGGCTACAGCCGCGGATGGTGTTTTCTTAACACATCCGTGCACATCACGTGGAACTTGGCCAGCTCCGTGTGTCGCAGATCAGAAAATGGACCCTAAAGTTGCAAATCCAGTTGAAGGTATTGGCATTTTGAACGGCATTCTTCCCAAGCTTAGACAGTGGCAGTCATAAATAATCAGGCACCAAGAAAGAGACCACTTCACCCAAATCTAGCCCTTTGACCACCTCTCCGGCCAGACGCCCACCAGACACTCACGTCTTCTGATAAGAGTTGCTGGGCTAAATGTTTTTGTCTTGCATTTTCCCCTTTCCCCCTCCCCAGTTACTCACCCAGAGAATCTGATGCTGCCTGGAAAGTCACCACGGCTGTCAGTCTGGTATCTTCCCACCGGCAACTCTTGACTGTCCCATTAACTTACAGGGTCATATCTGCAGCTGCCCGGATTCCCTGCTATTGTAAAACAGCCTCTCCTGTGAGAAGCTGTAGAATGTTTTGTGTCGAAGGTTTAAATGGGTTCTGCTCATAAACTTCTTACTGAGATGCTTCCTGATAGCCTGGCCGGCCAGAAGTGGGCGAGGTGGGAGATGGAGGAGTTACATAGTTAGTCATGGTGGTTTGTGGTCAGTCACCTCAATTCCATGTATTTCTTGCACTGCCTCTTAGTGATATAGAAAGCCCCCCGTATCTTAGGCCTGGAGTATTAGAATCTCACTTTATCTACCATAACCAGAGACCTGAGGGATGAGGACACCCTTACAGGACCCGCGCAGAGCAGGCAGGAGCAGAGGCCGTGCCCAGATGGGTGGCCTGGCCCTGGCTGCTACCCTCTAGCAGGTGGGGGGGGTGGGGCAGCAAGCAGGTCTCCCTGGGTCCTGCTCATTCTGTTTCTGCTCTCAAATATGGTACCTGCCATGCTTGCCCCTCTGGGTGTGTGACTCTCACTGCACCTCCTTTCTTCCCCTTTTCATTTCAACCCCTCCTGTTGATTCCCCTTGGAAGTCCTCTGGACAGGTGCTTCTGAGAAGAAAAATTTCTGGGCAAACATCATCTGTCCGGTCTCTGTGAATCTCCTTGATTCCTCTTGGGTAGTCATCCTAGCACCTCAAATGGTTCTGAGGACTCTTTGGTTCTAGATGAAAGTAGGTTTTGGCTAAACTTTAATAGCAAACATGACCTGACTTTATATTACAAGGGCAAAATTAATACAATGTCTAGCACTTAGAGTGTCTTATCAAGTTGGGATCATTCATCGAGCCAACTTTTACTAAATGCGCAATTCCCATCACACAAAGACTTACCACTGCATGACCCTCTTCTGGTGTTCATTTTCACAAGGTGACTCAGCTGCTGGGGAGGGTCTATAGCCTTGAAAACTCACTGCAGTTGCCTATTAGGTTCACCAAATTCATCCATTCCATTGGCAGGTCTAGTTTCCCCTTAGCACCTAAAGATCTGTACCCCAAATCAAGGTCATCATAAAAGGGGACAGGAAGAAGAAGAGTGTGTGGAATCTAATGTGGGGCTCATGACTGATGAAATACAATGTGATTTTTCTCATCTTCTCATATACCTCTATCCCGGGTACTCATTGAGTTCTTGGTGAAGTATCTGAATTGAGATTTACAAGGACTTGGATACCATTTGAAATGGAAAAGATTTTAAATGGGCTTTAATATATTAAGAAATATGAACGGGAATCCCCAAATCCATCTCAGCTCTAACCTTTAACCTGGTACCTTATAGTCTAATGAAGAGCTAAATGCTTCTCTCTCTTCCTCACACTTGATCTTTAGAAATGCTAGTAAAGCAGATGGGACCCAAGACTGCCTTCAGGGTCCATAGTGGCAGTGTGACTTGGCACCTTTTGTCAATAAAAGTCTGTTTGGTTTTCCACGAGGAGTTCGTTGGCTAACCCACTCCTCAGAGAGAAGAGGAGGAGGAAGTCATCACAAAGTTTTAGTCAACTGGTGAGCTAATCCCTCCCCTATGACGTTCAGGATTGGCATTTGGATTTGCTGCTAGAGAGTCCTGCTGATCCCAGAACCATCCTGCCCACCCCTTTGACCCCAGTCGTGAGGCACAGACCCACTGGCTGCCCTCGGGGGGTTCTGAGGAAAGAGCAAATCAAGGAATATGGTGCCACATAGAATGTGACCCTCCCACGGCCGTTCCTGAGTCACAGTGGGCCCTGTGGCCGTAATGTCAGTAACTTCCATGTCTGCCTCCCCAGCCTCACCTGCCACCCGCAAGAGTCCAGAGCTGTGGAAAAGCAGACGAGGGCGGAGTAGATGCAGCAGAGCCTGCTGCTCTTTGCCAAGCCTGCAAGGCCAACCCATCCATCACTGCCAGTCCCTGGGCCTCTCAGGACAGCGACTTGAACTGGTCAAAGAAATGTTTTAAAAAGAATCTGGAGTTTTCCCCACGTGGACTAAGGGAATGTTTGGGCAAAAAAAAACACACACGCATTACAGGGACATCCTTCTGAACAAAATGGCTGTCTTTACTTACTCTTTGTAAGCAAAAACTGTTTCCAAACTTTTTAGTGTCAAAACTGTAACCAAGTGTCTCCTGATTTTCTCCAATGTGTTTGGCGAGTGCTGTGACCCTCTTGTAGGTATTTCTCCTCCTGACTCTTTTGGGGGAAAGGTGGTTTTAGGGATTGATTTGGGGGGAGCGGGTTTTTGTCCCATCCCACGTCCTCTTTTGTTTCTCCGCTTGTCGATATTGTCTGTGTGGTTCAGAGCATTGGGGCAGTTACATTGTGGCCATTGTTGAGATTATTAAGATATTAAAAAGTAGTTTGTAGAACTGAAAAGTTAAAGAGCTGTGTTTTAAGAAATGCAAAACGATATCATGTTAATAAAGGAATTCAAGCTACGGGGCAGCCGAACTCCTCCCCCACCTCCCCCAAGTTGGCCAAGGTGGCAGCTGGGCTAGCCCCTTGGGAAGCACCAGTGGCCACCCTCCAGGTAGTGAAAGAGACAACTGCTGAGTCAAAGGAATTGGAATCCGGGGCTCAGAGGGTCCCCACTTGTGCCAGAGATCTCCTCTACATCCTCAGGACCTCTGGGTAGAGGTTTCAAAGTTTGTGACCCCATAACCACCCTCAAAACCCACCTTGGTCCCAGCTCAGTGTGCCTAATACTGTGTGGTAACCCGGGCTTGGCTCTGAAGCCTCACAGCCGGCGGCAGCCCTGTGCGGGCCGCAGACCCTCTCTCCTGCCCACTTGGTGCTATATCATCCAGTGACCCATCCAGCACGGCCAAGCGCCGGCCAGCCTGGAGCCCACAATCCAGGCCAATGAATTGTACTCAGATCTCGGTTCCTTCTGGCTTCAGGCCCCAGGTTCTTTCCCTTTAAGCTTCTTAGCGCCTACATCTCCCAGGCCCAGGCTGTCTCTCTAGGCCCCAGAGATGCCATGGTCAGGAAAGGACGGGATCCCTTGCTGAAGCCAGAGAAATCCCCCCCTGGGCCCCGCACAAGCGCTCCAGGCCCAGCCTTTGTTTGCACGCCACACCAGTATTGCATTCATGCCCTGACGCAGCCAGACCTACCCGAGGGCCACCCCCCCACCCCACCCCCGTTCTGGCGGGGCTGCCCACGCGGGCCTAGCCCACTGGCCTGGGACCCTGCCAAGCACCTCGGGCTGTCCAGGATGGAGACCCGACGTCTCCCCGGGATCTGCTCCCCTCTGCCCCAGAAGACAAGTGCTGCGCTCTAGTGAGAGGAGCTGAGGGGCCCTGGGCGCCGACTCCTAGCTTGAGTTCCTTGTGCTGACAGTAGCAGCCGCTATGATGGTGTCTGTGATGCAAATGCACCCGCTGCCTTCAACCGCGTGCGTGCGTGCGTGCGTGCGTGCGTGTGTGTGTGTGTGTGTGTGTGACGGCCGGAGTCGTGTTACTGACAGGATAATGACATTACAAAGAAATTGTGTTAGAGTCAACTTTGCCTTGATAATTATTGTAAACACTTTGTCCATTTTTTTCTTTTTTATTCACAAACTAAATCCATCAGGAAATTATAAAGTTATTTAAAAATCGTGT